CCCCGCCGCGCCCCGCGAAGTGTGCTACGACTGCCTGGACGCCGGGATCGTGGTGGGCGGCAAGCGCAACACCTGCCCTGTGTGCGGCGTGCTGCTGGGGCCCAACCCGTTTGACCATTCCAAGGTCAAATACGACTCAACGCTCGACACGCTCATCAAGAAGGTGCGGGTGCGGGGTGCTGGTGCGGGGCTCGGGTCTGGGGCATGCTGTGGCGCGTGCGGGGTGGGGGTGGGTACGTCAAAGCTCAGCGCAGGTGTGACTACGAACGGCGCCACACACAGCCAAAGGCTTTGCAAGAACACAGACACCAGCGCGCAAACTCACACAAGCGCGTGTGCAGGTACATAAACTCGAAACGCGCCGCGCACGCATCAAAAACAGGTGTTCCCGCGCCCCTTGCTGGATGCCGCCCTGGACGCGCGCCGCTCGGAGCGAGAAGAGGGCACGAGGGAGCTGCGGGAGCAGCTGCGGCGGCGCGGCTCGTGCCATGCGGAGGCCATAAACGCCGCTTTCGAGGCCGGGTACAAGCTCGCGGGTGAGCGGGCGCGGCGGCGGGCGGGGCGGCGTCCGGGGGCCGTGCGTGCGGCGCGGCGCGGCGTGGAGGGCTGTCGTCTGGCGGGGCCGTGCGATGCGCCGTGGGGCCGCTCACACCGCGTGCGACAGGGCCTCGCGTCGTGCCGCGAACAATTGCCTGTCAGCGTGCAGCAGGGCGTGCCACAGGCAGCAACTGCCCATCAGCCGGTGCATGGCGTCTCTTGTCCCTGCCAACGGCCGCGACGCGCCGCCCGGGCCGTTCCAGGCACCCCTGCAGGCGGGCGCCGCGTCTCTGGGGATGTCCCCCAGGCCCCGCCCGCACCCATCGCCGTGGCGCTCTTCTCGGCCGCGCCGCCGCCGTCGCCCTCCGCCGCCGCCGCCGCGGGCCCCTCGGCGTCGGCCGGCACGCGGCGGCACGGCGGCGGCAGCGCTGCGCAGCCGCTGCCGCAGCTGGACCGGCCCTACTTGGCTGCGCCGCCGACGCTGTCCGTTGGCATCCTGAGGAGCTGGCTCATTGAGCAGCTGGCAGCCAAGCAAGCCGTGGCGGCTGATGGCGGCGATGGCGGCGGCGGCGCCGACGGCGGCGGTGCTGGGGCGGCGGCCGGTGCTCAGGGTGAAAAGGGGCAGCAGCAGCAGCAGCGGCAGCAGCAGCAGCGGCAGCAGCAGCAGCAGCAGCAGCAGCAGGAGGAGGAGCGCGGCAAGGGGCAGCGGCGGACTGGGGCAGGGGCGCACTCACTAGCTGCGGGCTCTGGACCCCCGCAGCTGCAGCGGCTGCAGCTGCTGAGCGGGGGCCATCCGCTGACGCACATGACGGAGACTGTTGGGAAGCTGCGCCAGCGGACGCTGGCAAAGCCTAAGAAGGCAGGCAGCGGTGGCGGCGGCGCAGAGGATGACCCCGTTTTGGTACTGACTTACAGGCTGGCGAGCTAGGTTGATGCGTGGCTCTTGAAAGGGGTTTCTATGTGACCTTTTCCTGGTTCTCGCCAGCCAGGGGGCCAGAGGCCTCCAGCCACGTCACGGCGCGTCGCATGATGCCGGGTGCAGCGGGCCACCGGATCACCAAGGTCCCGGCTTCATCGCGACCCTGATCCGTGCTTCATGTCCTGGCATGAAGTAAAGAGGCTCTTTATCAGCAGGGCAGTCGGGCGAGGGGGCAGGGTGCGATTGCGGGCGGGGGGGGAGCCATGTTGCAGACGCCGACCGCGCTGTCTGCAAGTGGTTTCAAGCTCACAAGCGATCATGGTTGTGGCCGCCCAGCTTCAGAAATTTCACACACCTGTGCAGCGTTCACGCCGGAGAACACATGGCGGTCACGCTGCGCCGCATGACGACGTCACCTGGGCACCAGCACTGGACCGATGCAGCACTAGCTTGTGAGCCCACAATCGCACGGAAACGTATCATGTTTGCTTGGTATAATTGACCACATCTCAACACTCGAGGTGCCGTTCACTCCCGATCTTGCTCGGGCGGTCCAGCGCGTCCAATCCCCATGGCGCTGCACCTCGCAGGACGGTGCAAGTCGCTGGGAACCATGTCAGTGATGGCTAGCAGGCCGTCTGCAGCCTTCCGGGCTCTGGCCAGCGCAGCACGCAGCGGCCCCGCCCACGGAGGAGGTGCGCTGCGCTGCCACACAACACAGCGTAGGATCACGGCTGGGGCGCCTGGCGGCAGGGAACCCCGAAAAGTGCTTGTGACGATCTTTCCTGCATCCCCAGGTGTTTGGCAAGCGGGCGGCGTGCTGCCGTGCGCAAGGCGCGCCCTGCACACAACGCCGCGGGCCGCGGCGGTCGACGAGGCCCCAAATGCTGCTGCCGCCGCAGCGGACGCCGCACCTGCCGCACCCCGCGTGTGCATTGTGGGCGGAGGGTTTGGCGGCCTTTACACTGCCGTCAAGCTCGAGACGCTGATATGGCCCAAGGGCAAGAAGCCGCGGGTGAGCCGCTCTCACACAAATTTTTTTTTGCCGCTGCCGCGTCGGCGACGCGCACGTTCCACGGCCGCGTCTTCGAGCCGTGCGGCCCCAGCAATCGCCGTAAGCCGCGCGACGGCGCCCACAGCTCGGCCGCCGCGAAAACCATCGATCTGCAGGAGGACACGCATCAGCTAAATGGAAGGTGCACCGCGGCCACAGCAGGGTCCCGCCACCCTCATGCATGCGGAGCGTCTCGCCACCTCTCGCTCCGAAACATCAACAATCCAGATCGGCCGCCCTCCTCCTCCTCCTCAGCCCCTCACGCCCCGACCCTGCCCCCCCCCCCAAAATCGCCACGCTTCACAGGTCACGCTCATCGACCAGGGGGAGCGCTTTGTGTTTAAGCCGCTGCTGTATGAGCTGCTGAACGGCACGGCCCAGCCCTGGGAGGTTGCACCCACCTTCACGCAGCTGCTCGCCCCCTACCCCGTGCAGTTCATACAGGCGAGCACGCGCTTTGTGCGCGGGGGCCCTCCTGCCATTGCGCGGCGCGGCCTCGCGAGACGCGCCCGGCCGCCCCGGGCGCCGCCGCCCCGCCCGCGCGGCTTGGCTGTGATGTCGACCCGCTTCGCTGCCTTGCGACCTGCACGCCGGCCCAAACCCGGCATTCCGCAGCCCGCCGGTCGCCTCCCACCCCCCTTTCTCGCTGCGCCACCCCCCAACGCACATCTCACCCCCGCCCCGCTGCCGCCGCCGCCGCCCCCTCAAACCCACCCAGGCCAAGGTCGCCGGCGTCGAGACAGACGGCCCCCTCGCCGACGGCGGCAGCGCGTCCGGCGGCCGCGTGCTGCTCGAGGGCGGCGCCGCCGTCGAGTATGACTGGCTCGTGGTGGCCCTGGGCGCAGAGACCGACCCTAAAGGCGTCCCCGGCGCCAAGGAGCTCGCGCGGCCCTTTGCGACGCTGGAGGACGCCACGTTTGTCGGCGAGCGGCTCGCCGAGCTTGAGACCGCTGCCGCGGCCGGCGGCGTCGGCGGCGCCGCGGGCGGCGCTGCGCCACGGTCGCCGGTGGTGGCGGTCGTCGGGGCGGGGTACGCGGGCGTCGAGCTGGCCTCTGTGATCGGGGAGCGCGTGCAGGGGCGCGGCGTCGCGGTCAAGATGGTGACGCCGGGTGACGTCATCCTGGCGGGCTCGCCGGAGGGGCAGCGCGAGGCGGCGCGCAAGGTCCTGGATGACCTGGGTGTTGAGGTCGTCACAGGGGCCATGGTGGGCAGCTTGAGCCGCGCGGACGACGGCGGGAGCGGCGTCGACGGCGGCGGCGGCGGCGCCGGCGCGGGCGCGGACTCGGGGCGGGGGAGGTGCGTTTTGAACTTGGAGGGTGGCGGCGGCGGCGGGTGGCAGTTGGAGGCGGACCTGGTGATCTGGACCGCGGGGTCGTCGCCCGCATCTAAGTTTGTGAAGGTGCGGGGCGCGCGCAATCTGGCCGCGGGCGCGGGCACGGGCGGGGGCGCCAACGCGTGGGGGCCGTCCCTCGTGCGGGCGCGCAGCCAGCCCTTCCTTGCTGCATCCAGGCGAAAGAGAGGCGCGCCTGTGGTGGCCCGACTCTTTCAACGTCGACGGTCAAATCTCGTTTGAATCGCCGACAAAAACCTGTTATTGGCCCGCCATCAAAATCATGCCCATCGCCGCATGAACCTGAGCCCCCATCTGCAGCCCTTTTGCAGTAGCTCCCCTTGCCCACCCTGTCGCACCACGCCCGCCCTCATCGCGCCGCAATGCAGTCGCTCCCCTTCCCCTCATCACCCACCGGCGCCATCGAGACCGACCCGACGCTCCGCGTCCGCAAGCACGCGCGCGCGTTCGCGCTCGGCGACGTCTCTTTCACCAGCGCGAGCGCGGCCGCGGCGGCGGAGGGCGACGAGCAGCAGCAACAGCAGCAGCAGCAGCAGCAGCAGGCGGCGGCGGCGTACCCCAACACGGCGCAGGTCGCGTTCCAGCAGGCGGACTACGCGGCCTGGAACGTCTGGGCGGCGATCAACGGGCGGCCGCTGCTGCCCTTCAGGTGCGGTGCCCCTGCCGGCGGCCCAGCAGCACGCAGAGGCGTGCTCACACCTCCAGGGCTGCGTATGCGCCAATGCTGCCCCTGCTGAGAAGGAGACGCCACTTGAGCTCCCTCTCAACACGAAACGACCAGCGGTCTTTCACAGCCCATGCCGTTGACCAGTGTTGAATTATTGAGAATGCGCGATGTGCTTTCATGGCTACATTCTAACCTGCAGGTACCAGCACCTGGGCAGCATGATGTCACTGGGCGCGGCCAACGCGGCCGTGGCGCTGCCCGTTGAGCTTCCAGAGGCGGTCGCGGCCACCCTGAAGGGCAGCCCGCTGGAGAGCCTGCTGGGCCTGGCCGGCGTGCGGGCGGGCGCGCGGGGCGGAGTGACGCTGGACGGGCCGCTGGCGCAGCTGCTGAGGCGGGCGGCGTACCTGTGAGTTGCCGCCTCGACTGCGGGGCTGGATCGTCAGCGGGGCGGTGGTCGGATGTGCTAGGGACGGCGGCCTGCTGACTGCAGCACCCAGCTTGACCAGCCTTCAGATCAGCCGTCAAGTGCGCGCAAGGCATAATTACGCATATCCAGATGGCTTTGCGCGAGGATGGAGGCTGCGCGCTGGCCCTCTGCCCCTTCTGTAGCCCGTGCTGACCCCTGTCCTGCAACCGTGACCGCGCTGCCCTGACGCCTCAGGTACCGGCAGCCGACCAATGAGCAGCGGCTTAGCGTGGCGGCAAGCTGGGTGCAGCAGGCGGCTGATGTGGCGGCGCGGCTGGCGCAGCAGCTGGCTGACCAGCAGCAGGGGCCGGCGGGCGTGGGTAGCAGCAGTGACGCGCGCCGATGATGGCGGGCTCACAGAGTTCACTGTGAACCCTTGTAAATGTAGTGTGTGGCCTTCCGTGTCTTTGCAACGGGCATGATATCCATATAATTATCAGTAACTGCTGAGGAACAGCATTTCCTGCACAAGACCAAATGGCAAGGGCATGCCATGCATTTTCGTTGGATGCGACGCACTGTTGGCGACCACGCAGGTGGGTGACGCGCGGATGGGGCAGCTGTATTTTTGGGGCCCAGGTGGCACACGCGCAGGCAGAGTTGTATCAAAGTATGTGCGCAATCCATATAACGGGCTGTAACATCTTGTTGTGTACTGCGCGTGACGACCATCCACAATCTCAGAACAGCTCGCAGCTGACGAGCCCTCAGGGCACATCTAGAGGGTTGTATCCTATAGCTCGTTTCCATCATTATCATAGTAGTCGGGCAGCGTGCCTTGCTTGATCTGCACCTACTTTTGCCCAACCTGCACCCTCCACGCCAGTCGTGACGAGAATAGCTTCTCTGTAGGTAGCTAAAATGGCGACCCAGCTGCAGCTTCCGCAGCTGGGCGTCGGCGCGGCTGATGGTGGAGGCAGCGCTGCCAAGAGCGCGTCAGTGGAGCGGACGCCACAGCTGACGCATGCGCAGAGCGCGAGCGCCGGCCTTGGCAGCAGGCCAAGCCCGCCATCTCAGCAACAAAGTACACTGGAACGCGACACAATCGACGACGCAGCGGCGGGCACGCGTATGCATGCGCACGTCCCGCACACCGCCATCCCGACAGCGTCGGCACCGGCGGCATCCCAGTCTCCTGCCGACGCAGCAGCACCCGCAGGAAGCGCGCCCCATGCAGCGGCAGCCGAGGCCGAACCACACGTGGGCGCCGCAGCCGCGGCGGCACCGGGGCCCTCGGGGGCCGCGCCGCCGGGCGTGGGTCCCAGCGCCGCCCCTGCGCTCGCTGCTGCCCCCACCGGTGCCTTGGGGCTCAACACCAGCAGCGAATCAGACATCGAGGTGATTGAGGAGCGGCCAGGGACAAACCCCACGCCCGCGCCCCCGCCCCGCGCTGGCGCGGCCGCAACGCTCGGCGCCGCTGCGCGGCGGCGAATGCGGCGGCGGCGTCAGCAGCAGCAGCAGCAGCAGCAGCAGCAGCAGCAGCAGCAGCAGGCGGTACAGCAACAGGAGCAGGGGGCTGTGATAGACCTGGCCTCGGCGCCCTCATCCGATGAGGACGAGGTGCAGTTTGTGGCCATGCGGCTCGGCAAGCGGCCCCGTGCGGCGCCGGCGCCGGCGCAGCCGCCGGCCCTGCGGCAGCTGGTCGCGCCGCGGCCGGAGCCGCGGGCCAAAGCGATCACGTGCCCCATCTGCCTCGAGGCGATCCAGGACGGACAAATGGCGTCAACGGCGTGCGGGTGGGTCCGGCGCCGCCGTTGCGTTACAATGGACATGCACGTACCATTGCATTGGGCGGCGGTTTGCGTGGCACGCAAGACTCAACTGGCCATGCCAGGCGCTCAAGACCGCAACATAGCATGCAGGGCAACCCTTGATGGTCAACAGTCCACACAAGCTGGCCGCTCCGCAAGCACCCTTGGACGCTGCTGACGCGACCCACTCCCCGTCCGTGGGGCTGCCCTACGGCCGGCTTCGTTCCTGCCCAGGCACGTGTTCTGCTACTCATGCATCATGAGCTGCATCAAGGCGACAAAGAGGTGCCCGAACTGCCGCAAGGCCCTGCAGCCGCGCAGCGTCCACAAAATCTACCTCCCCACGTGACGCCGCGCCGAGCTGCACGCCGCCGCCAACAAAGCCTGTGCCCATAGTGCAAAGGGCCCGTGGCAGCGGCATGCGGCGCCAGCGGCGGGGCGGCTCGACACAGCAGTTGTGGGAGGGCGCGCTCGCAGCTGCGGGGCACTGTTGAGCTGCGGGCGCCTCGTGCCGCGTGCGCACGCACTCTGTGTAAGCGCGGCTTGTTTTCCGACCTCAAACAACCACCAATGCTGTCACTCTCAACAGCTGTCCACACGAGTTTCTTGGCGACCAACCCCGCGAATCTGGCCACCATCCCTGGGACAGATCAGCTCCATGCCTCAAGTGCAGGATCAAGGGGTGGCTGCCCCGAACCAAGGCTGGTCCCGTCCACAGCATGAGTCCTAGTCGATGCTCAGCCAGCATCACTAACCCCCAACGACATCAAAGCAGGCGAGCAGTGCTGCACGACCCTACAAGTGCAATTGGGTCGGATGGTCGCCAAGGTGAAAAGAAAAGCAGTGCATCGCGCGCCACACTAACAGGAATCCTGCTCTATGCCGCAGGCAGTAGCTTGCGTGCATCAGCTTGGCTGGCATGCGGGCCGCACCTCTACTAACGCGCAGAACCAGCAGAGGTAGATTAGGCTGCGATATCAAAACCCTGGCCAGCGAGCATCAGAGCCTCCCTGGGAGTGTTCCGATTAGGGCCCATGCATGCGAAGCATCAGCAGCGCACAGTACGTCGCGGCCGAAGAGCTTGCGGTGCTGCTGTACAGGCGGCCCACCCTCGTGTCAGCCGCACCGATATCCCGCAGGTTCAAGGACCACGCCTCGCGCTGCAGTGGTGACACACTCAATTCCCTGCCTACTGCACAGCTTTCTTTGCCGAGCTTGGTGCGATGGCGCGCACGCGAGGCATCACTGTTATCCCTATCCCTATACCAGGTTGAAAAACTCCTGCAACTGTGTGCTCGATGTCTCAGTTTGGCACCCGGGGTTGTGGATTCAAGTGGCTTGCGCCCCAGGGTTATGGATTCAAGTGGCTTGCGCCCCAGGGAGCTCGCATTGCCAACTCCGTGCCATGCCTCAAGCTCTGATGGCGCAGTCCCCATAAGGCTGGGGGCGCCAGGCAAGCGGAAGCCACCCAGCAGCTTGGCTTCTGACCTGCAGGCGGTATCAACGGCATTGCAGGAGGTCAGGCACAAGAGCAGGCGCCTGTGCGCAACTGCAACAAGGCGCGCTGTCCCAGGTGTGATCACCAGTTTCCACGCCTCACGTGTCACCAGTCCCATCCCTTGGCCCTTGTTGTAAAAGCATCCAATCACCCCGTGAGGCCTTGCTGCGTGCGCACTGCGAGGGGCGTGCCCTGCTGACTGCGCAAGCGGGTGCGCTGGTGTCCGACCACGCGGTTGAAAGCTTGTGGTGACACACCAGGCCTTAGTCATGTTTCTGTCTGTGTTTGTGACATCTAACGGCTGCGAAAACATATCACATACTTGAAATGTACGGCACGGGGGACCTTCGCACACTGCCCACTACCGCCCTGCTACGGGCAGAAACGACACTTACCAGGGCTCAGTATGGCTGCGTTTTGATTGTGGTGTCAAAGGTTGCCCTGAATGCCAACAGGGACATATTTTGGTCATTGCCACATAGCGAGGGTGTGCTGCATGCGGTTGCAGGGCGTGTTGGGCGGTGGAGTGGCGCAGCAGGGTGGACCAGTCAGCAAACAAACGGCGGACATACTTACAGAGCGCTTTCATCTGCTATCAAGAAATCAAGGGACTGACTAAGTTTCTCTTTCCGTTTCCATTGCGTCTGACAATCGCTGATAACACAGCAGCAAGATCACGCAATTTCAAGCGTGGAGCCTTTCGGGCCGATCTACGACCTTGAAATCAAAAAATGAGGGCATCAGATTCCAATGCGCTAGGTCATCCGCGCTATCGACCAGGTCTGCCCACAGTGGGCCCGCTTTTGCAGCGGCGCCGCAGCTGTTGCAGCAAGTGGCTGTCGCCGAGAGCGGCCGCAGGCGCCACAGGGGCGCCAGCAACCCAGCAACGGCCGTCGCACCAGCAGGAAGGCAAGAGCGCCATCGTCGTGGGGGCAGGCGTAGGGGGCCTGGTGGTCGCCGGGCGCTTGGCAAAAGAGGGGGTGGAGGTGACACTCCTGGAGCAAAACGAGCAGGTGAGCTGCGATGGTGCGGTTGGTGCGGATTCTGGAGCGTCAGGACAAGATGGAGAGAAGCATCGGTTGAGCCCCATGCTTTGCGCCTGATCTTTGCCTTGGGCATCAGGTGTCCCTGGCGACGTCAATGTGCAAAATCGGAGCGGCAGCCGTTGTGCACTCAATCTGGCCCCGCGCGTGCATGCTTGTGACAAAGCGCGGCCCAAAGCCCAAGCACGGCGCACGCTGTCATAACCTGATGCTCCCGTATGCAGGTCGGGGGTCGCTGCCAGTCGCTGCACACGGACGGCTACCGCTGGGACACGGTGGGTTTTTCTTTCCGCGCGCAGCGGGCCGCAGCCGCACGTCAGAAACGACGTGGCGGTCCCCTTGCTTAAGAGGCAGGCAGGCATCCCGAACCATGCCGATGGCGCGTGGCGAGGCGACGGCGCTTGCCCACGTGCCAGACCATGCCAGCTTCCCCACTTCCAGAGGAGGCCTCACATCAAATCGCCGCCCTCCACTTGCCCCACTCGACCAGGGCCCGAGCTTGCTGCTTTTTCCTAACACCTACAAGGAGGCCTATGCAAAGCTTGGCACCACCCTGGAGGCGCACGTGCCTATCAAGCGGGTCGAGCCGGCCGCCTACCGGGTGTTTTTCGGCCCTGAGACGGCCGGCGGCAGCAGCAGCGGCGGCAGCAGCTGCGGCAGCAGCAGCGGCAGCAGCAGCAGCAGCAGCAGCAGCAGCAGCAGCAGCGGCGGCGGGGGGTTTTCGCACCTGGACCTCCTGTATGACGTCAATCTGATGTCAGAGCAGCTGGAGGCTATAGAGCCAGGCAGGTGCCCCTGGGGTTGGGGC